ATGTAACGTTATCATGGTACGAGTGTTCATGGTGTTCGGGTTGCAATCTGAAACATTACCGATAGAGGCCGCTAAAAAATACATATAGCACCTTTAAATAGGGTTATTTTTTTATTGTATTTTAATCTAGCATTAAACACTTTGAATCAATTTGGTTGCAATGACTGTTTGGTTAAAATGATTGTTCTTTTGATTAAAAATACTCCTTTTTAAGCCAATATATAGCAAATGCATAAATATGGAGATATATCTATACAGTATATGACTGCAAAATACTATATGTATTAAATATATAATGTTTTAGCCATATCATCCATCCATGCAAACAACAAAAATCTGAGAGAAACTCGTAAATCCATGCAAACTTCCTTGTTGTATATTTGTAATGATGTTTTTTAGGTTGAAATAACAAAAAAGGTGTTTTGTACTGATAAAGGGATTTATTCCAGTAGATGACCGAATGAGCGCACTTAAAAGCTACTCGGCAGATTACTGTGCAGCCACAGAGACATATTTAGTCTGACTTGTAAAATAATCATCACTACAGCAGATCCATTTAGAATTGATTTTGTTGATGTGTGATGGTGTTTTAGTTGCCTGAAGTGCTCTGGGAAAACTAGTCGTGCTTTCAGTAATAGACTCTTCTCAATGAATTACAGTATTAATGGGTGGGAGGGTGAAACCGACGTACGGTCTGTTGTCTGGGTGGAACGGAGCCCATGCGTACTTGTTAGATTTGACAAGAGTTGCAGTCAACCGAGCCGTCGGATTCAGGGAAGGGAACCTCTGGGAAATGTAGGTTTAATTGGAGATCTGAAACATTATGTGTTGTGCCTGAATTGTGTAATTGGAGTTGTTAGTGGGATGGTACAGTTAGTGAAGCTCATCAACTGAAACTGTGTCAACAATAGCTTTAAGGGACATTCACTCACACACACACTAACAGTGATTAAATCGCTGGAGGTCAGCGGGTCTCTATGTTGGGTTCTGCTGGTCGATGGCAGTCGACGTCCATCTTTATCAGATGATGGTTCACTCTCTGTCCTCCATCTCAGATGCCTCTCTCTGCAGAATAATCACGTTTTAATCAGTGTATTTTGTCTCGTTTTCCTATAAAACTACTTAAACATTCTTTAAACACAATTTGTTTTCTGGAGAGGCGTCATGTCATCACTAACCGGCATAAATCTCCATATTTGCAATGCAAGGGTTAATAAAGAACTGTTTGTTTGAATAAGTAGAGCATTTTCTTTATTCAACAAGCACTATGTATATTTAGGCCAGTGTTTTGTGTATTTAAGAAGAGGAGAAGAGTATTAGTCTAGCATTTGTTGTTAAGTCACAGACAACACTGTCTTTAATAGGCTGTGAGTAACACTCTGCCTTTAAAGGAGTAGTTCACTTTTAAAAAAAACATTTGTTGATAATTTACTCACCCCCATGTCATCCAAGATGTTCATGTCTTTCTTTCTTTAGTCGAAAAGAAATTAAGGTTTTTGATGAAAACATTCCAGGATTTTTCTCCATATAATGGACTTCATTGGGAACCAAACGATTCTTGGTCCAAAAGACACTTTCAGTGCAAACTGCAAACTGTTCAAAGGGCTTTAAACGATTCCAGAAGATGAATAAGGGTCTTATCAAGTGAAATGATCGCTCGTTTATAAAAAAAATTACAAAGTTTAAGTTTTATAAGCTCAAATACTCGCCTTGCTCTGTTCTGTGATGAGCATTCGTGACTCTCATGTTCAAACTCGTTCATCAAAATGAACAAATCTTTTCCAGAGTCAACTCGTTCATTTAGTTCATTGAATGAACCAAATGACACAAAAAAAGATTTGTTCATTTTGATAAAAAAGTTTGAACAGGAGAGTAAGAGGCTTGCTATTGGTGGATCTCATGTGATTGACAGGTTGGTTGTCCTGCCCCCACACCAGTAAACACGTCATCAGAGAAGAGATGTCGCTGTAAGATTATATGAGGACACACGAACGGTCTTTTTTTAATTTTAATTTTGATTTTATGGTGACTTTAAGTATAACTGTACAACAAAATGGTGTGAAGAAAAATATGATATTTAGATGATTTGTCCACAAATTAAGTATTTTTAAGTATTTGAACAAAATACAGGTTCACCAAGGCTGCATTTATTGGATGTAAAAATACTTGAATTATTATTATTATTCTTATTATTTAAAATAGCTGATTTCTATTTGAATATATTTTGAAATGTAATTAATTCCTGTGATGCAAAGCTGAATTTTCATCATCATTAGTGTCACATGATCCTTCAGAAATAATTCTAATACGCTGATTTGCTACTCAAGAAACATTATTATTAATGTGGATAACAATTGTGCTGCTTAAATCTTTTTTTTTTTTTTTTTCTCCATGAACAGGAAGTTTGTGTACCGCCTGCAGAGGCAGTGTTTTCCAGGTTTTGGACACACACAGTATAGCGTACTAAATATGTGAATTATGAAATTGAATCCCGGTCCTCATGAATATTCTGATGAAGGATGTGTCAGTGTCAGCAGTGTGTGCATGTCCGTTCTGTCACCTGGTGTCTGATGTGTGTGTGTGTGCTATTGCGACCCTGCGTCACTCCCACATTATGTATCCAGTCAGCGTAGCCGAAGCCCGCAGAGAAAGATGCTGTCATGTAAGGACTCTCTGACCTGAACAACTCCTGACAAACACCATTTCTCTTCCTTACCTCACTGTCTGTATTCCTTTATATCTCTCTCTCTCTCTACATGGCTGTCTGCCTCACTCTGCCTTTGTCATGCTCTTTCTTTCTCCTCACCGTGAGGACTTGAATATTAGCAGCTGCGCTTCTGTTCGGGACACTGTGGAGAGAATCAGTATTTGACCTTGGAGTTTCAAAGCACTCAATGACATCCACTCGAGCGATACAGATTGTGAAAATCACAATGATTTATTTGGCATATGAGTGTCATTAGAAAAATTATCCATACAACTAATCATTTTTTTAGGTTTGACAAACAAAACAGAAATATTTTACTCTATTTGACCTGAAAAAAAATGATGACCTTGGTAGGTCACGTGATAAAGACAACAAGCTGAATGTAGTGTATCCAGAATACATTCATCCGTCACATACTTTTGTTTAGCTTATTCAAACTTATTCAAATTAACATTCAAAATAAGTACCTACTCAAGAGAGTATGCGATTTTGGAGGTAGCCTGTGGTATTTCTTGTTTACATGACAACAAAATTATTATTTTTTTTTTATTTGATAGCAAAATTATTTTTTTTCATTAATGAATAATATTTTAAAACATATGTTTTAAAATATTATATATTTTTTTGATTTTGCATTTTTTTTACTTTTTTATTTTACATTTTTTTAATGTTTCTTTTTTTATTTACAACCAAATTTAAAATATATATTTTTCTTTTTTTATCTTTTTATTCTTTTTTTAAACTCTAATAAAAAAGAAACACACACACACACACACATATATATATATATATATATAATTTGCTTTATATAAAGTAAATAATAAATAATTTGTTAAAATAATAAAATGATGCTTTCAGTGTTTTATTGTATTTTTTCCTATCAGCATTTGAATCTTTTTATTCTCATCTGTGTCTTTTTCTTCATGTTGTAAACATCAAAGAAGAGAATCTATTCATTTTCATTCATGGATTTTTTTTTATTTTACTTCACCAATGATCAAAAAAAGGGAAAACATATCTATTTTTCTCTCTTACATCTCATCTTTCATGTTTGCATCAAAAAAAGTTGCAGTAACTTCAAAAAAAGAATAATTTAAATGGTGTATATGCTTTATAAACGCTGAGTACGTATATATATATTAGGGCTGTGCAAAGATTAATTGCGATTAATCGCATCCAAAATAAAAGTGTGCTGTGTATAATTATTTTGTATATATAAATACACACACACATGCATGTATACATTTAATAAAATTTGTTATTCATGTATAAAATATTTATATTTATACATAAATTAGATTATGTATATATATATATTTATATATATTCTTAAATCTATACATGCATGCATATGTATTTATATATACAAAACAATTATACACAGCACACACACATGTAAACACAAACTTTTATTTTGGATGCGTTTAATTGCAATTAATCTTTGCACAGCCCTACTATATATATTAAACGATCCGCCTTATAAAATTTGATTTTCCTGAAGCAAATCTGTCATTGAAGAAAGTCAAGATCATGTTATTGTGAATCAAGATAAGGTCTTATCTTGTCGTCACTTACACCTGTAATAAGATTACATTAAAAATATGCATAATTCTGTCTAGCAAGTGCAGTTGAGTGGTTGTAGTGTAGTGTGTGTGTCCAGTAGGGGGCGCAACAGCTCGCCGGTTCAACTCGCAGCATCTCTGCAGTGTGTCGACTCATGGTGGAGAACATTATTTTGAGTTATTTTCAGCTGAAATTGTAATAATCTCTTGTCTTTGATTGCCGAGTTACATCTTGTGCTGAATTACAGACGTAAATCTAAATACATTGCTATAAAACAATCTTTATTCCTTCAATCTTCATTTCAGTCAAAATAAGCAAAGCTTTAGTAGCTCGACTGACATTTACTGTACTGCCAGAGCATATGAAATAAGTATACAGTGGTGCAGAAAACAAGGTGAAGTAAATCGAGATGTGTGTGTGACTTTAGATGCTAAAATGATACACTTTGGTTTTGTTTTTCTGTTGCAGCAGCATTATAATGATTTGTTTTGTGTAATTGAATGTCTGCATCGCAACACTCGATTGCACATTAGATTTTCTAAGAGAGCAATTTACCACTGGGTATTTGCACTTACATAATGTCTGTAAATGACAGCGAGTGTGTGTTGAAGAGCTCTGTGCCGCTGACCCACTCGTGTCGTTCATAAACACACAGCCCGCAGGTGTAGTTTGTTATCATCATGCGCTCATGTTTATTTGTTGCTTTGTTTATCTGTGTGTTATTTTGAAGGATCCAGAGCCGAGGAAGCAGAACACAGAGCAGGATTCTGGGAGACGGGTACATGTTATCTCACTCGCTGAATGCTTACTTACTGCTTCTCGCTTCTAGTTGTACTTGTGTGTGTGTGTGTGTGTGTGTGCCGTTTTTCACCTCTTGTCTTGAAGTGGAAGCTGTGTAAATCTCCTGGAAGACAGTGTGTCTTTGTGTCAGGGCAGGGCGGTCGGATGTATATATTGGGTTGAGGCCGAGATTGCTCCAGTTCAAGATGATTTTGTCAATAACTTCTGAAAGCGCATTGATTGCATGTTGCCTGATATCCACAGTCTAGTGCATCATATCTCACACACGTCCAGAGGATTTAAGGTCTTCTGTGCCTTTTTGATATAGAGTAATCGGTTAGACCAGAAGAGGCCATCTGACAGACATGAATAGTGTTCAGGTACAGTTTGTTTGATTTGATGTGCTATTTAGGGGAAGGTGGAAATGATAGGTGTGAGTGATACAGGTTATAACAATACTTGTAAGAATTCTCCAACTGGTTTACTTCAAATGTTTTTGATATGCCAGTGCTTTCTGCAAAAAAACAACAACAACAAAAAAAGCAACCCTTATTATCCTTCCATTAAAATGGGTATATTGTGAATATATATAATACTTAGTATTTAATAAATTTCTTCTTATATATTTGTTAAAATAAATTAGTGCTGTCACATATATATATATATATAGGGCTGTGCAAAGATTAATTGCACCCAAAATAAAAGTTTGTGTTTACATAATATATTTGTGTGTGCTGTGTATAATTATTTTGTATATATAAATACACACACATGCATATATTTAAGAAAACCTGTTATTCATATATAAAATATTTATATTTATATATAAAATAGATTATATATATATATATATATATATACATTTAAAATGCACACATATATACACATATATATATATATACATATATGTATGCATTTTATATATATATATTACAAATATACAAGAATATACATATATTAATTATTAAGTATTATTTACATTCACAATGTACCCTTTCTGCTGTCAAATCAATGAATCGCAATTATAATCTATAAAAGTTTGTGTTTGTATATATATATATATATACACACACACTGTATGTATATTCTATTTTATATACTTTATACATAAAAGTAGGCTATAATATGTTTAAGTATATATTTTTAATCATTCATTAGGCATAAAAAAAACAAATTTGCCATTGCTTTGAAAATTGTCAGAGGAACCATTATTATTTTCACAATAACAGAAATGAGCAAAAAAATTGGTTTGGATATCTAAATCATTTGGCAAACTTGAGCAAGTGACTAGTTCTTCCTCAAAAGTGTTCATTTTATCATCCTGGTACCTTGTAAATATGACTTGGTTTCCTGGTGGATGACAGTGCAACCTGTGTGCACTTATCCTCAGAAATTGTGTAAAGCAGCCGATCAGATTAGGGCTTGCCAGACCGAGAAAGGCTTGTGTAAATGACAGGAATTTAGGGATCTTGTTGAGCTGATCGCCTGGTTTGCCATACATCGATGGATGTTGAGATCTTGTGGGCCAGATTAAATCTTTAGCATGTTTTGAAGGATGTGCCTTGCATAAGAGAACAGACAGTGGGATATTTCAGCGCTGGTTACAGTCACCGAGCAGACCTAAAAAAATCTTTCCTTTTTGTTGAAGTTAGGGCCGGGAGATGAATTAAAGCTCACTTCACTGATCCGGAGAAATAAGCCCTGTAAGTTCAGCACAGACTCTATCTGTCCTGCTGAGAGCGACGCGTGACGCTGTAGGGCACAATCGTAGGGTTCTGAAAGTACAAATGCCATTCATTTACTCCATAGAAAAATTGATTTTTAACAATCATGTATAAACCAAGTTGGACCTACAGCTCTGAAGTTCTTAAATATTGTTATGCTTCTGTAGGAACAAGTCGGTGTGATTTTAGCTAAATATGATATTGTTGTTTGAAATATAAAATAGTTTAGAAAGTGGGGATTACATTAATAGTTCATTGTCTTATTAAATATGTATATGTGTCTGTATTTATATATGCATGCACAGAGTTGGATAGATTTATGATTACGATTTATAAATTTATATGTATAATGTATTTACAGACAGATAGATAAATAGTTTTAGATAAATAGATAATTATTTCTCATGATCTATGATTATAATTTATAGAATTGTATGTATATAGATAAAAAGATAGATAGATGGATGGATAAATAGGTTAAAGTTTGTAATGTGCTTCATTTCAGAGCTGGTTTGTTTGGTTCAAGATCTCTTTATTTATATTTTGCTTATGGAGAAAACGAATGAGATAAATACTTTCAGCACCACATCTGCTGGTGTGGTAGTGTGTGGTAACTGCTGCGCACTATTGTGAGTTTGACGCCGTGTCCCGTTCACACCCGCAGGTCAGAAGGGTCCCGGGGTCGAGCGGTCACCTGCACAAGACCGAGGATGGAGACTGGGAATGGAGTGATGACGAAATGGACGAGAGAAGTGAAGAGGGGAAGGCTGCTGTCAATCATGGAAGGGTGAGTGTGGCTTAATAGGATGCCAATTGATCTTTCTTAAAAATAACATATATATATATATATATATATATATATATACACTCACCTAAAGGATTATTAGGGACACCTGTTCAATTTCTCATTAATGTTCAATCTAATCAACCAATCACATGGCAGTTGCTTCAATGCATTTAGGGGTGTGGTCCTGGTCAAGACAATCTCCTGAACTCCAAACTGAATGTCAGAATGGGAAAGAAAGGTGATTTAAGCGATTTTGAGCGTGGCATGGTTGTTGGTGTCTGAGTATTTCACAATCTGCTCAGTTACTGGGATTTTCACACACAACCATTTCTAGGGTTTACAAAGAATGGTGTGAAAAGGGAAAAACATCCAGTATGCGGCAGTCCTGTGGGCGGAAATGCCTTGTTGATGCGAGAGGTCAGAGGAGAATGAGCCGACTGATTCAAGCTGATAGAAGAGCAACTTTGACTGAAATAACCACTCGTTACAACCGAGGTATGCAGCAAAGCATTTGTGAAGTCACAACACACACAACCTTGAGGCGGATGGGCTACAGCAGCAGAAGACCCCACCGGGTACCACTCATCTCCACTACAAATAGGAAAAAGAGGCGACAATTTGCAAGAGCTCACCAAAATTGGACAGTTGAAGACTGGAAAAATGTCGCCCGGCCTGATGAGTCTCGATTTCTGTTGAGACAGAATGAGAACATGGATCCATCATGCCTTGTTACCAGGCTGGTGGTGGTGGTGTAATGGTGTGGGGGATGTTTTCTTGGCACACTTTAGGCCCCTTAGTGCCAATTGGGCATCGTTTAAATGCCACGGCCTACCTGAGCATTGTTTCTGACCATGTCCATCCCTTTATGGCCACCATGTCCCCATCCTCTGATGGCTACTTCCAGCAGGATAATGCACCATGTCACAAAGCTCGAATCACTTCAAATTGGTTTCTTGAACATGACAATGAGTTCACTGTACTAAAATGGCCGCCACAGTCACCAGATCTCAACCCAATAGAGCATCTTTGGGATGTGGTGGAACGGGAGCTTCGTGCCCTGGATGTGCATCCCACAAATCTCCATCAACTGCAAGATGCTATCCTATCAATATGGGCCAACATTTCGAAATAATAATTTCAGCACTTTGTTGAATCAGTGCCACGTAGAATTAAGGCAGTTCTGAAGGGGGTCAAACACAGTATTAGTATGGTGTTCCTAACAGTCCTTTAGGTGAGTGTGTGTGTATATATATATATATATATAATATATATATATATATATATATATATATATAATATATATATATACATAGAAATCACAGTTCAGTACGTACCTCAGTTCTGGGGTCACAGTAGTTATCAAGATGATCAATAAGCCTTAATTTAAGTGTGTTTCTCAACCAAATCTATATCTGTCTTCAGAAGATGATGTATTGATTTTCACGAGTGGTCTTGGACATTTGGACCTCACTGTATTTAAAAATAGCCTCTATTATGTATTTGTGATTAACCCACATATAAGATTTGAACGAACGCACTTCCTCTGATGCAGAGCCAAGCATTTCACCTCAAGCTCCCTTAATATTTGATCATAAACGCCCTTGCCTGTACCATACGGGTGACGCGCACCATTTGATCAAAGCCCAAGGCCTTTTTCACTCATAAATGTGGAATATATAATGCTAACATGTCTTCGCCAGGAAGGAACAATCAGAGCCCCCGAAGCGAAGCGTCCGCAAATCAGCGGCTGCTAATGAAGCTGGAGACGTTGTTCTCGTGTTTATTGTTTATTATGGAATGCAAATGAGCAAGTGCTGATTGCACTCCCACACAAATAGCTACATCTGTCTGTCTTACTTTGTGCGAGAGCGAGAACCTAATTGAATCCTGTCTCGTTATTCCTTTCGCAGTCACGCAGGGTCAAAGAGGAAAACCAGCATGTAAGTTACAGTTATTCTTTCTTTACCTTATGAAATGGCTGTTTTTATTAGTTGTGTGGGGTAATGCATCAGGACTGACCCTGTTTACATGTGTAATGCAGTTTACTAGCTACATTGTGAATGATTCATCAGCACAAGAAATGCGCTGTTTATGAAATATTTCATCAAAACTCTCTCCGCCTCTGAAACGACTTTCTTTCTCGGTAGTGCAGGCTGTTTATGTAGATAAATAGGGATTTAGTTGTTTTGGTTGTAATGTAATGCAGCCTTTCTAAAATCCTGCCAAAAGACTATTATTTTTATAAGCACAATGAACCCGGCAGGGAAAAACGTGGATGATATTTATAGACCAGAATATCATATGGAGTTTGGGAAGGGCTCTTGTATCTATTAGCATCGCTAGCCAATCACAAAGTTTGACCTGTGGTTTGACATGTGGACTTAAAGGGAGGGATAGTTCACTTTGAAATTATTTTTTGGTATGTTTTAGCTTACCTCCAGGGCATGTCTTTGTTTCCGCAGTAGTTTCAATTTTGATATTTTTAGGTCAAATCGCTCTTGTCTGTCAGTCATATAATGGAGGTCTATGGTCACCACCTCAAAGAGCATGCACAGAGAAGTCCAAATTAAACATGATCTAATGACTCGTAAATGTAATTGATTGCCCAAGACACGAAACGAGGTGGTGACCATAGACCTGCATTATATGAGTGACATACAAGAACGGTTTGACCTAAAAATATCAAAATTGAAACTACTGCGGAAACAAAGACACCTACATCTTGGATGCCCTTGAGGTAAACTAAAACATACCAAAAATTTATTTCAAAGTGAACTATCCCTTTAATTAGAACTCAAACCGATCCATTAAAAGAAGTTATTACTCGACCATCTGTGTGATGTCATTAATCAGGTTTGTGACGGTATGATTTCGGGAAAGAGTCGTGACTAGTAAGTTGATTTCTTCAGCGACGATGCATCGTACTGTGCTAGTGAAGCAGTGAGCTATGTGATTGTACGGAAACACACCCCTCAAACATATTTGCATGGGAAAACACCACTTGTATTGTCTTCTGAAAACATTCAAACTTAGGTAAACATCCTATTTAACTAACGTTTATTCAGCAAGGACACATCAGTTTGATCAACGGTGACAGTAAAGACATTAATAATGTTACAAAAGATTTTTATTTCAAATAAATGCTGTTCTTAAAATCTTAAAATCTAATAGTAGTTTTAATTAATACAATTTTACTGTATTTTGATTAAGTAAAAGCAATTTTTCCTACGGCTAAAGAGTCTGTAAATGTGAGCTCACAGAGACATCGGGCTTGACCGACTGCGTTTGCCTGTGAATAGATTTAATTAACGACTAAAGTATCGTTTGATCATTTAATTAAGAGTATCGAGGGATTGCGCTATTTGCCTAATAAACTACATATTAAATGATTAACAAGCGTGGCCTATTCGACCGCATTGGACAAATAGCAATTAAGCAGCACAAACACAGAACTTATGTCCTAACGTCTGTGTGTGTGTGCGTAGCGATCTTCCATACAGTATATTTTCTCCCACTGGATCACCAAATGTCATGACTTTTAGTTCAGGCTTTGAGGCTGTAGAAAACCCATTTCCCCAGCTGCTGAAAGAACTGTCCTTGAAGGGAATGAAAAGAAACAGCGAGGGGCGGAGAGATGTCTTTCTGTGCCTTCCTTCACTTCTAAGCACTCCATTTTGCCTCTGCAGGGAGAAGTGAATGCTAACAGTCTCCCGCTAGAGGACCTGTCCATTCAGCATCCCCAGGTAAGGGGTTGACAGTGTTGCTGTGATGTGTGTTGATTCGGTGGCCCTGACGCTCCTCGCTGTGAGAGACGGCTGGTCTCTGGGCTGGCTGGACACGACCCTGGGGGGCCGACTGGCCTTGAGGGAGCCTATTAAACGTAATATCTCGAATGAAAAGAGTGAGAGAGGAGACCTGCTGCAGAAGCTTGTGCAGAGTTTCTATCCCAAAAGCTAGCGAGCCGGTCAAGGCTTCGGCTGCACTGCGGACACAGAGACTGTTTGTTAAAGTCTCCAGCCATGTTGCATGCATCCTTTGTGAAGAAAGCAATCCTACGATGCATTCAGTGTTATTTATATACTATTATAGTTTTTATCAGCTTTTATTTTAGATTTTTAGTAGGACTGTCAAACGATTAATCGCAATTAAAGGGTTAGTTCACCCAAAAATGAAAATTCTGTCAGTATTTACTCACCCTCATGTTGTTCCAACCCCGTAAGACCTTCGTTCATCTTCGGAACACAAATTAAGATATTTAAGATATTAAGATCGCTCCTGCATACAGTCCATAGGCTTCTTGAGGGACTGGCTCTTGCTGTCCCCGAAAAGTCATTAAAGACATCGTTAAAATAGTCCAAGTGACTACAGGGGCTCAATCTTAAGTTTATCAAACGACGAGAACACTTGTGTGCGCAAAAAAACCAACAAAAATAACGATTTTATTTCAACTATTCACTTCCTTCTCTATGCGCCTCTAGTCAGTCAACGTAGTGTGATAGCGTAGAGCTACGTCACACGTAGGCTCACTATTGGCCGACGCTGGTCATGTGTGTGTGATGCGAGTGACGTACAATAACAGAAGCTTACGCTATTAAACTAGTAACCTGACTCGCGCAGAGGGAGAAATAAACGAATAGTTGAAATAAAGTCGTTATTTTTGTTGTTTTTTTGCGCACAAAAGTGTTCTCGTCGTTTGATAAACTTAAGATTGAGCCCCTGTAGTCACTTGGACTATTTTAACGATGTCTTTAATGACTTTTCGTGGACAGCAAGAGCCAGTCCCTCAAGAAGCCTATGGACTAGTATTCAGGAGCGATCTTAATATCTTAAATATCTTAATTTGTGTTCCGAAGATGAAAGAAGGTCTTACGGGGTTGTAACAACATGGGGGTGAGTAAATACTGACAGAATTTTCATTTTTGGGTGAACTAACCCTTTAATCACATCCAAAATAAAAGTTTGTGTTTACATAATATATATATGTGTGTAGGGTGTATAATTATTTTGTATATAAATACACACACATGCTTGTATATATTTTTTCATCTATATAGATTTATATATAATTTATATTATATATAAATATTTTATATATAAATAATATTTTTTTCTTAAATATAGATGCATGTGTGTGTATTTATATATATATATATATATATAAATAATTATACACAGTGCACCCACATATATTATGTAAACACAAACTTTTATTTTGGATGCGATAAATCTTTGTACAGCCCTAATTTTTTAGTTTTAGCTTGGTTTTTTAGTCATTTTGTTTGTGCGATTTTTATTATTATTATTTTTAATTAGTTAATTTTTGTTTAAAATTTTTGTTAATAATAACCCTGACGCATTGTGATACAAATGTTGAAGTGAGAGAAATGTTGATTTGCATCAGAGTTCTGTAAGCATCAAAAAAAAAAAAAAAGATTCAGTTTAATCAAAATATTAAAAACATTTTTATGGCTAATGGATGTAATTAAATACTTTAATTAAATGTGAATGAAAAATAAAACACAAAAAACTAAAAATCAGTTATTTTAAATGCTACAAGTGAATTTAGGTGTCTCAGCATTGTAATGTACAGAATAAAAAAATGGATGATTTGTAGTGAATTTTTACACTTGTATAGTATGTATTGATATTTTGAATTAGCTTTTATTTAAAATAAAAATCATTTAAATTTCAGTTTAATTTTTCATGAATGTGCTTTTGTCATTTCTACAGTTTTTTTTGTTTTGTTTTTAGTTTTTATATTTTTGGTTTTGTCATTTATAGTGCTCCAACTTGCATTTATTTTATTTTTATTTATTTATTTGTATCATTTTAATTTCATTTTCATCTATTTTATTTCTGCGTTATTAATTAACAAAAACTTGTTTTAATCATTTTTTATAGTTTTAGTTTAGCTTTACAGTCAGTAACAACAGATATTTATTGCTCATTAGATGACTTCAAAGGTATCTAAATGTAAAAATAAAGGCATGCTCAATAAAATATGAAATATTGGCCAGTATAAATATTCATCATTCATTCATCAGCTGTAATATTAAAACAAATTAAAAGATTTCTAATAAACTCTAATAGCAGTTATGGTAATATGTTGTGGATTCCTATTAAAGACTGTTTTACTCAATATTTGTGTAGGTTTGACACTGTTACTCAGTTCAGTAATAATATGAGTTGACTAGAGTAATTGTATTGCTTCACATCTCCAATATAACCCTGTTATCCTCAAGACCTGTGCGTAATCACCAGCGTGTGTGTGGTGTAAAGATCTTTTAACCTCAACAATCTTACTTACCATAATGTTTTGTTTTACTCTCCAGGTTCAACCATTGGATAAAGCCTGGAGTGGTGAGGGAGCGGTCAACATGGTCCTGAGGTTAAGGTGAGCGATTCTCTTTATTCTCCATCACCCTTCATACATATTTTATCCACAAAGAGCGTCTGTTTAAAGTGACATAATAGTACAGTGTGTATGAGCTGCTGGAAGAAGTGTGTGTCTCTTTTTAAACGATCTCGTTCACTCCATCGCTGGCCTCATGTTGAAGTGCATCGTGTTAATGCATTTCTTTCCTTGGTAAGCGTGGGAAGACGGCCTTTAACCCTGACCTCATGTTTGCATTCCCCTGCCTCAATCTGTGTTGCAAAAGAAAGCCCACAATCTGTTCTCAGATCATGGCTATGGCCAGGAAAGCCAAAGTGAGTGTTTTTTTCTTTATTTAGTATTTAGTTAAAAATGTATTTATCGTATTTAAAGTCAGCATAAAGCAGAAAATATTTTTCCTGAGTAAAGGAGCTTTTTGAACATTGAAAAACGTAAGTCAGGACTTGATTTTGTCCTCCAGTTGTTGATTGGATTGTGAAAAGTGAATGTTATTGGCTTAACTGCAGTGCGGCCATCATACTTCAGCAGAGAGAAGTATAACAGAAGAACAAGATAAGATATTTTGATTATCCATCCATCCACCAACCCATCCACCCATCCATCCAGCCACCCATCCACCAACCCATCCACCCATCCATCCAGCCACCCATCCATCCATCCATCAACCCATCCAGCCACCCATCCATCCATCCATCAACCCATCCATCCACCCACCCATCCATCCATCCATCAACCCATCCATCTATCCATCCATCATCCATCCACCCATCCATCCACCCACCCTCCCGTCCATTTGTCTGTCCGTCCATCCATCCATGCATCCATCCATCCACCCATCCATTGATCCACCCATCCATTGATCCATCCATCCACCCACCACCCACCCACTCGTCCATCTGTCTGTCTGTCCGTCCATCCATCCACCCACCCATTCATCAAGCCACCCACCCATCCGTCCGTCCTTCCACCCACCCATCCATCCATCCACCCACCCGTCCGTCTGTCTGTCCATCCGTCCATCCATCCACCATCCATCCACCCTCCCATCCATCCATCCGTCCACCCCCCACCCACCCATCCATCCATCCATCCACCCATCCACCCATCCATCCATCCATCCATCCATCCACCCACCCATCCATTGATCCATCCATCCATCCACCCATCCACCCACCCACCCGTCCATTTGTCTGTCTGTCCATCCATCCATGCATCCATCCATCCATCCATTCAGCTACCCACCCACCCGTCCATCTGTCTGTCCGTCCGTCCATCCATCCACCCACCCATCCATCAACCCACCCACCCATCCGTCCGTCCTTCCACCCACCCATCCATCCACCCACCCGTCTGTCTGTCTGTCTGTCCATCCGTCCATCCATCCATCCATCCATCCATCCGTCCACCCACCCACCCATGCACCCATCTCATTTAGTGCTACACTTTTTACCCTGTTTAAATCCAGCAGAATCAGCACAGAAATTGTGCAGAATGTGTGTTGTTCACAGGCATGCTCAGAACCAATCATTACATTGAAATCTTTCTGTCTTTCATCCAATTATCCTCAACAGCCTCAGTTTGGATTGACGGAGAATGAACCGTGTGAAGAGCCTTTTTCAATTTTCAGCATTGAAACTTATAAACAACATTGATTCAGTGCCAAAAACGGGCGCCTAATCAAGCCTCACGGACAGCTGAGTTTGAGCCCTCATCAAGAGAGAGAGAGAGAGAGACAGATGCAGGAGAACAGAGATTAATGGCTCTCATCCATTTGCACAGTCAGGTCAGCAGCGAGAGCAGGTGTTCGGCTCATCAGAACGGATCAGGATAATGGCCAGGATAGCGAGGGATAGACTTGTTTGCTAAATTATTTAAAATGACTTTAATTAACTCTGCAAATAGTTCTTGACGTAAATACATGCAAGTGAATCGATGAACGCTGATCGTTGAAGCGGTCTCTTATGATTACTTGATCTTGACCCAAGCTGATCTGAATATTTGGCTCGATTGTCGATTGTGAAATGGATTTCGCTAAGGTCTTTGTTTGGCAATGTGAAAAGGTTGGATAATTCTTGAATAAATCTACAGACCCATTGCGGTGGAAATGTTTGCATTAGATGCCATCTAAATCCACGGATTAATGTGAAGTACGAAAGAACTGAATTACAGCGGTCCAAACTATGGTGGCCGATCACAATGCTGGCTTGTTTAGCAAGGAAAGTTATTACGTGCGTTTCCTGATATTCTGATAGATTCCTTTGTTGAAATTGGGACGCGGTGTGAAATCTCCCAATCTCATCATGAGGTATACCGAGGCATGAGTCTATAAATCTGGGGTTTATTGGGATTCAGCCGGCAGACAGAAAAATGTCTGTGTTTGATAAGACAATAAGTGATGTGTGGAGTGACTCGGAGAGTGAGCGAGGAAATCCCAAGATAGGATAGGATTTCTAGATATTGCTCTGAATTTAGATCCATTTCTCTACAAACCTGTGTGAAACTCTAAAAACTCTGACTCTGAACTGTGATTGGATGAGCAGTGCTCACCTGTGATCTGTATTAAAGGGATAGTTCACCCAAAAATAAAAAAGTCTGTCATCATTTAGGCTACTCAACCTCAAGTTGTTCCAAACCTGAATCAGTTTCTTCTGTTGAACACAAAAGAAGATATTTTGAAAAATGTTGGTAACCAGACAGCTGTGGAATTACTTGAACTATTGACTGAATTTAAATGATAAAAGAAGAATGTAAAAATGAGTACTGCTACAAACAAGAAAAACAACATTTTACCTCAGCTACATTACTTGAACCAAAAAAAAAAATCATTATTGATTCACTCTCATGTCATTCTACACTATCCAATGTTCCAGACTTTCTTTTCTCTGTGGAACACACACACACACACAATATATATATATATATATATATATATATATATATATATGTACTTTTTCTGTCCATACAATGAAAGCCAATGGACTCTTTCAGAATGTCTTCGTTTGTGTTTCACAGCTGAAACATGATGAAAAAATCACTATTTTTTTTACAAAACAAAAAGTCACACATGTTTGGAATGGCATGAATTAAAATTTTGGGGTTGAACTATCCCTTTAAGAGAGTTCTGCTTTGTTAACGGCCTCTTGTTGCATATTGCTTTATTATAGTGGCACATATTTATCTTTGTAGGTTTTGTTATTAAAAACACATACACGCATACATACAAACACAAAATAGAGATTAGAATGGACAATATTGTGTTTTTGATTTACTTTTGAATTCATGTCCATATATTATTCATATAAATAAGCACCACAGACTATTTTTCCCCACGTTCTCATTTGAGATAATGCTATAGTTTGTTTGAGAAAGTTTCTCTGCACAGAAGCTGTTCTCGCTCCCGTGTGTGTAAAAGGGTCTGGGTTGATGTGATAACAGCATCTGCTTGCTCCTCCCAACACTTCATTATAGAGCGCAAAACACACACACAAAACACTTCCATATGTTTCCTAGACCCCATATCCAGTGCACAAAGCCCTTGCTCTCTAGAAACAGGCCAAGTGGAGAGACCTCAGGGAGGTGTAATTATTCTAACCTGGACATGTAAATGAACGCTTAAGTCCAGCATTACTCTCTGTTCCTGCCGCTTGACTCTCAGCCCAGACTCAAAGTTTTACACAATACTGGATTTAATGATCCTGAGTTTCTTAAAGTGAAGAAGTGTTGAAGTAAACTTTAGGTTTTGTATATCAGACTATAGAAAATAGGCTATCCATCCAACCACCCACGCATCCACCCACCCACGCATCCACCCATCCATCAATCCATCCACCCATCCATCCATCCACCCACCCACCCACGCATCCATCCATCCATCCACCCACCCATCCATCCATAAACCCACCAACCCACCCACCCATCCACCCATCCATCCATCCACCCACCCAACCGCCCATCCATCCATCCATCCATCCACCCATCCATCCATCCACCCAACCGCCCATCCATCCATCCACCCATCCATCCACCCACCCACCCACCCAACCATCCATCCTTCCACCCATCCATCCATCCACCCAACCGCCCATCCATCCATCCATCCATCCATCCACCCAACCATGCATCCACCCATCCACCCACCCACCCACTCACCCAACCATCCACCCATCCACCCATCCATCCATCCACCCAACCGCCCATCCATCCATCCACCCATCCATCCATCCATCCACCCAACCGCCCATCCATCCATCCATCCATCCATCCATCCATCCATCCATCCACCCAACCATGCATCCACCCATCCACCCACCCACCCACCCACTCACCCATCCATCCACCCATCCATCCATCCATCCATCCACCCAACCGCCCATCCATCCATCCATCCACCCAACCGCCCATCCATCCATCCATCCATCCATCCATCCATCCATCCATCCATCCATACAACCATCCATCCATCCATCCATCCATCCACCAACCGCCCATCCATCCACCCATCCACCCATCCATCCACCCATCCATCCATCCATCTATAAACCCACCAACTCACCCACCCATCCATCCATAAACCCACACACCCATCCATCCATCCACCCACCACCTACTTATCAATCCACCCACCCACCTACTTATCAATCCACCCACCCACCACGCATCCATCCATCCACCCATCCATCCATCCATCCACCCATCCATCCATCCATCCATCCACCCATCCACCCATCCATCCATCCATAAACCCACCAACCCACCCACCCATCCACCCACCCAACCGCCCATCCACCCACACATCCACCCAACCATCCATCCATCCACCCATCCATCCACCAACCCACCCACCCACTCATCCATCCAACCAACCATCCAACCACCCATCCATCCATCCATCCATCCACCCATCCACAAACCCACCAACCCATCCATCCATCCATTCATCCCAAAAACCTAGTCTAAAGTCAGTGGGGCGTTGCGCGTTGTTCATAATGCTATTTTAAGCG